ATGTCTTTTTGTCTTGTTTTGTGAACCAGTGAGTTTAACCATGGATATCTGTATGGCTGTTGGTTTGGAATTATCCACTGGAGCATGCCCGGTGGGCTTATCACTGGGTATGCAACTGAAGACAATGACTTTCCACTCCTCCACATGTATCAATAGCCAACCACAGTTCATCAGGGTTGGGAAGGGCCGGTCTTGTGCATGCTCAGGACAAGAAGCTGTAATTGCCGTGAGGTCATTCCTGCCATGATTGTATGAGACCTAGCAGATGGCTTTTCACAGTCCTTCCTATCTTGTGGCTCTTATGCTCTTTCTGCTCCTCTTCTATCGTGTTCCCTGAACTTATCAACTGCTCTGATTTGTGTGAATATTTTATCAAGGCTCATTACATTCTACAGGGATTCCATTTTTCTCTTGCTCTTGAAATGATTCCTTCCTATCTATTTTAATTACTACATCTTAGTCTTCTTAAAATCACTGTTCATTAAGGGAAAATGTACAAGGCTGACACCAGTAGCATACTAATGTGAAAATGGGAACGCCTGTGAGGCCTCAACCTACACGAAGAACTAAGGGATGCTGAGAGTTGGGAAAGTCGTCCCAGGGAACTGGTTATCCAATATCAAATGTTCAGGCCTGGAAATATACATAATAATAACATTATATGGACTGGCAGGTTGTACTTATGTGTTTAGGTATATATATATATGTGTGTGTGTGTGTGTGTGTGTGTGTGTACACATAGGAAACAACAATTAAAGAGGCCATGGATTTGGAGAAAGGGGAACTACATGGGAGGATTTGGTGAGGGAAAATGATGTAATTAATTATAATTTTGAAAATTATCTTTTAAAAACATAAGCATAAATCCAGCTTTTCTTGCTATACCTATTCTAGTTCCTAATTTACCAAGTACCCTCATTTGTTTCATTTAACAGTATTTAATCCAATGTAAGCTGACACTGAGTATCAACTGCCTTAAGGAATGTCAGCATACATACCCTATACCTCCCTCCAAATGTTGGGTACTGTATTCTATAGTGTTACAGTGGTCATTGCCATGAGTAGTTTAGTATTTAGTGTAACTATGACATTTCTCATAGTTTTCTTTATTATTTATTAATATTGTTTCAAGTAGAAACAAATCCAATTTGCTATGCTTAGTATGTTATTTTCATTCCTAACTCACTGGTGTTTTTCATGGTGTTTAGAAGTTTCCCACCCACAGAACCGGGATAATGTGTGGTCTTAAACATCTTCTTGACCATATAAATAAATTACACCAGAGGGCTCACCTGAGTAATTATCCAAACTTATACCATCATTAATTTGTGCAATATTTAGTAATATGATTCATAATCTTCAGAAGGAAGATATCTCTAGATACATAATCTTCCCTAATATTCTTTTGTTTTGGTTTTTAGTGACAGGGTCTCACTCTGGAGAACTCACTATATAGCAGGGCTGGCTTCGAACTCACAGAGATCCACTTGTTTCTGCTGGAATTAAAGGCATTGGCCACCATGCTCAGCCTTCACTAATATTCTAATAGAGGGGAAGTCCCATAATATAGCTTCACCAACATTTCTACCAGGACAAAGCAAAAAACGTGACAAATGTTGAGCTAAAGTTGTAAACATGCACATGAAGCATTTTGTAAACAAATCTGAACGTATGAAAACCAAATATATAGGTAACATTGCAGCACTCGAATCTTTATAAGCAAAAGTGACTATTGCTCATATAGTTAATCCTTTTATCCTCAAAGGAGAAAGGGGATAAAATTCAATAAACAGTAAAAGCAGATTTTCCAAAAGCCTTCTGTAACAGATGAGAAGCTTTAATGCTGTTCTTGAGAAATTATTCTAGAGAGGTTAACTTTCATAAAATATATTATAATCTCTGAAAATGGCTTAAATGAAAGATGGGATTAGGCTTAAATGTGCAATGAAGCTTGTGCAACACCAGGCAAAAGTTCTTTACAAACCCTTCGTTCCTGCCTCCAGAATCGTAATTGTGAATAATTTATTTCTGTTGTTTAAAAGCCAGGAATAAACCTTATTACTTGGTAAAGGGGTTTATAGATTTATTGTAGAAATTAAAATACAGAAACACAGATTCTACCTTGGACACACACAAACCACTCTTACGGTTGAGACTATAACCTTTGAATAGTTAATCATACGTGATAGCATTTTTCTCAATCTCAGAGATAAAAAAACTGCATGATAATCAAATGTCAAATATTAACACAGTGTGAATTTGCTGAGTGACCTGGGATAGGAATGCTAAACATCCTTCTGATCATAGCTAGTAACATGCTGGACCTGCCACCATTGTGATAAGCTCCTTCACTGAAGAGGACAGACGTCAATTCATCCTAAATATTCCAATAATCACAATGTATTACCATATAATGGCACCTAATTTTTATATAGGTTTTACAATAAAATTTAAACTTGTCATCTATTGTGAATCAAGAAATCTGTTGCTTCCAGTCCTAAATACACTGAGGTCTTCTTTGCTTTTTGGAGAATTAGTACCTGAAGTGGCCAGAACTTCATTGCCTTTGAGGAACTTCTCAGATTATATAAAAACCCTTTTTTGTGCTTCTACCACAAGATCACCTGAGAGCATTAAATACCAACTGGACATTAGAGAGAAGCGGTATGACACTCTGCAGTTACACTGAGAAACCTTGAAGGGAAGGGCAAATAATGATGGTGGCACGGACCAGGGAAGAAGGAGGAATGGAAGTAGCTAAATAATTATTATCTGGGTGTATACTGATCATAAAACCATTATCATTTGTTCTTGAAGGCTTTGTGGGAAATGTGGGGGGGAAAGAATAGCTCAATAGTTTCTGGCCTAGGGACAATAGAAATTCCATTGAAAATGGGTGCAATACTGCCTTGTGCTCGTATTGATTAGAAAGAACCAGCGGAAAGGGAGACATGGCTAAAAGTAGGTAGAAAGGACAATAGCTGGAGTGATAGCCTTGAGCACACAAAAGAAAGAAGGAGCCTGTATGCCAGGGAATGTTGGCTGCTGCAGAAAAGAAAGAAGGAGCCTGTATGCCAGGGAATGTTGGCTGCTGCAGAAAACACCTGTAGAAACAGAAGGCAGGGAAGAGCAGCAGGATCTAAACACAGACAGGGAGCAATGTAGAACTACTCTTTGGATTGCTTCCATTTTCTTGGCAGAATCAGATATAATCAGACAGTGAGGTTGAAGGATGTGTTGGGGACCTAAGTTGCAAAACTTACAAACAAGGAATGCAAGAAAGGTCTACTCTGCACAGGCTTCAAGTGTATGGATTTAGCAAACCCTGGACTGAAAATATTCAGAATAAAAAGACTGCATCTCTCCTGGATATGTGAAGGCTGTTTTTCTGAGAGTCATTCCCTGTAAAACATAGCATAAGACTTATTTGCATAGCATAAACATTGTATCAGTTATTATAAGTAATGTAGACATGATTTCAAGTATATGTATATGCATAAGTCATATGCAAATACTGTAGCATTTTACATAAGAGATTTGAGCACCCATGGATTTAAGTATACAACAGGAGACCCTAAAACCAAACCTGATGGATGCCAAAAGGATAACTCTATAACAAAGATACGGAAAGCCCAAGAGAACTGAAGACAGATGTGCATGGATGGCCACAGAATCTAAGCTGATTAACTACAGAAGTGAGGCTATGAAAGGGGTGAAGACGGTTTAAAGATGACAGGATCAGGGATAAATAATCATAGATACTTTTGGAACTCACCAAGACCAGCTGGCCTGGGTCTGGAAAAGCCTGGGATAAAACCGGACTCTCTGAACATAACGGACAATGAGGACTACTGAGAACTCAAGAACAATGGCACTGGGTTTCTGATCCTACTGCACGCACTGGCTTTGGGGGAGCCTAGGCAGTTTGGATGCTCACCTTACTAGACCTGGATGGAGGTGGGGGTTCCTTGGACTTCCCACAGGACAGGGAACCCTGATTGCTTTTCGGGCTGAGGGGGGGGGGACTTAATTAGGGGAGGGGGAGGGAAATGGGAGGCAGTGGCTGGGAAGAGACAGAAATCTTTAATAAATAAATAAATTAAAAAAAAGATGTTGGGTGTTTAGTTCTATCATTTCCACACTAAAGCATTGATGTCAAAACATACTAAAAATTATGAACATGCAGTCCGTTTGGAGTTTTAGCACTGTATCATGAACCATTAAATTTTTAAAACCTTCCTTGGGCTGGTAAAATGGCTTAGGAAGTAAAGGCACTTGCATCTAATCCCAACATGAGTTAAATTTCTGGAACTCACATGTTGGAAGGAGAGTACAGACTTTGGGAAATTGTCCTCTGTCCTCCATATGCATACGAATGCCATGAGCTTCCCTCGCCCACATGCACAATAAATAATTGTAATAAAACCTACATTGTTGTGGAACTCAGCATTTTTTTCTTTTAGCTCCACTCCCACATTCTCCCTCTCACCCCCCCTCACACACACACACACACACCCACACACAGGCACACACGCACACACACACAAACACACATACACATGCAGGCACGCACACACTCATGCACACACGCACATGCACACACGCACATATTAACCTTCAGGCAGTTACAACAGTTATATTGATTTTGTGAAGAATTCTTCATCTGAACTTCATAATTTCTCTTTTTTCTTTGAGTATGAAATGTTTTTATAATTCAAAAAACAGTTCATTTAAAGCAACATATGTATTTACAGTCACTTACAAATAAATGTTGGCTGTGCTCCTTTAGGTGTTAAAAGACTTAATCAGGATTAGCTTCTTTGGCAAATGACAGAATATAGGGCTTGAGATGATGGGAGTTGATATACTTTTAGAACGACTAGATTTCATAAAACATATGCATAGACCTTGTCTAGTAATTATATTAATATACATGAAACCAAAAATATAATTGAAACAGTAATGGCATTTTAAAATTGGGAAAAGGGATCTTTACAAACCTGCTTCCTGCTTTGAGCTCTTGCATTCCGTAATCTTCGAGCAGAATAAAAGATAAAGTAGCCCACAGTTGCTGCCGTAATAATAAAAAAGGACACGGAAACAAAGAAAATCGAATAATGATTCACCCATGGGCCATGTTTTTTTCCTACTTCGATGACCATGGTTACTTGTATGCCTCTTTGAATAGACTGCAGAATTTTTGTTCCTTTTAGATTGCCAATCATGATCGCAACAATGTCTCCTGCACCTGTAAAAGGAAATGAATTCAGTTTTAGTTTGAGATCCTTAATATAAAAATCCAATTTTAACGGATGATTTAAAACATTTAAAATGAGACATAATGATACAAAAAGAGGTACTATAATTCAATTAACATTATTAAGTGCCTACTACATATTCAAAAGTCATAAGGGTTATAACCATGTGCAAGATTTAGTTATGGATCTATGGAGCTCATAGTTTAAAGGAAAACATCACACACAAAATTACCAAAAATTCAACATCATTACCTCTGGGGCCTAGTTTGCGGTTTTTTTTTTTTTTTTTTTTTTTTTGAGATAAGGATTCACTCTGTTTCCCAGGCAAGCCTGGAACTCAGGTCCTCCTGAGTAGCTAGAAATACAGACCTGAGAAAGCACTCCAACATGCAAATTTCATAAAGGCTTTCTTAATAACAAATAGTCCACTGGCTGGTAGATGATAGAACTTACCTCCTAAGGAATATTAAAATACTTAGATGCACTCTTTTTAACTTATAAAGAGGCAGATTATCATATGTACCTGATACTAATATATACAAAGACGTATATAACAAGATAGGGATCTGAGACAAATAATGTACATAAAATGTTTTACAGCCGATATACATATTAATGATGTGCTATTTCCATAGATCTTCAAAGAGAATATCAACTTTACACAAGCTACTTGGGAAGGAGAAGCAAAGCTGTGAAAGGAGGATATGCTGCAAGCGAGGGCAATGGGTAGGCCATTACAAAGTTCATTATATACACGTATAAAATGATGTAAGGAAATAATATTCGGTCCCAATGAATGCACTATGAAGCAAAGTAAAGAAGAAAAGAATAACAGTAGAAAAGGATACGCCTTCACCCAACTAACATTTATTACAAGAAAGGAAAACAGAAAGAAAGCAGACAGGAGGCAGGCAGGCAGACAGACAGACAGATATTTTGTTCCAAGAGCTCTAAGTTTTCACACATGGACCTGTTCAGGTTTGCAAGGACAACAACACAGATAAAGGATAGAAGTATTTGTTTCTATTCAGCACCAGCTAAGGACAAACCTGAACTTAGACACAACTGTTACCAAAGATATCACATCTGTAACAACCTCCTTTCTTCTCCCAAACACATTTCTAGAAAAGCAAGATAAACCTCGTCTTTCTGAATGTTCTAAGAATGACTTATCGTTCAAGCCATTCCAAGGTTTATCAAGGTTTATAATCCTCCTAGCTTTTATGACCCAGGATGCACGATCTGAAGCAGAAGAAGGGTTCTTTGGGTGCTAATGTATTGCCAACCAGAGAAACCTCCTATTGATACTAGCTAGGTTAAGGTACTACTCAGGGTTAATAATCAAACCCCAGCCTGGGATAAACAACCTCCTACAAATAAGACTTTAAAAGACCTTTAGACTAGAATTGAAACACAGATACTAAAATAATATTGTCCCTTTCAATGATTATGAGTAAAAAAAAAAACTTCACTGGCTATATATATATATATATATATATATATATATATCATTTTTTTTTAAATCCAAACAATCCTTGAAATTTAAAGCTCCTCCTAGCAAAAGACTGCACAGGATTAGGCCACATAGAAATACGTCACAGCACACTGGGTAGGATCCTTTCCTAATGTCTGCAAAAGGTATCACTACAGATCCCTTCACGGCTTTATTTTATGCATATGAGCGCTTCCGTGACTACCTTTATGTACACAATGTGCCTGCAGTGCAGAGGAGGCTGTCAGATCCACTGGAACTGGAGTTCCAGGGAGTTACAAAGCACTATGTGTCTGGGAACGAAGTCTGGGTCCTCTGGAAAAGCTACAGGTGCTCTTAACCACTAAACCGCCTCTCCAGTCCAGCACTCCAGAGAGCCGAAGCTCCAAGAGAACCGTTTACACAGGAGAGTTAAACTCTTACGACTCCCGCTGACTAATGTGTCACCACTCAGTCCAAGAGAATGACTCACGGTCTATTTGCATGGAGGAAAATCTCAAAAGATACCGGAAGTGAAGGGAGTAGAAAATGTAGAGAGCATTTTCTGTATCTTCATCTAAAACAAACATAGGACCCAGATTTCCCATATGGGTTTAAGAATTGGTAACTTAGCAGAAAACTTGCTTAGGTTTTTTTGTTTGTTTTGGTATTTACCTTTGCTTAAATTCTAACTGTGAAATGAAACACAGACTTCTTTGTCTTTTTCCTTTTGCCAACTCTTAGGAAAACATCTGGCTGTAAAGTTTTTATCAGTTACATAATGTGATCTTGTAACATGTATAATATTTAACAGCACAGATAATTTGAAAAGTCAAGTCTGGAATATATTGCCCTTTGAAAGATTTCTTTTTACAGCATAGATGAGGCCTAATAAGTTTCTGAGCAGTGGAAATAGATTTTTCTCTTAGAAGCTACAGAGTCAGTACCAGAAGTGGCTACTCAGACTAGCCACTGTATTTAAGAATATTATATTTAAAAACACAGTCAAGAATGTAAATTCTGTATACAACAGGAACAAGGTTGTGTTTCTATCCCCACAATTCATATTCACACATACTTTATATAGTCTAATGGTGAAATAGACTGAATTACACTTCCAATAATATCAAAGACATTTCTCTTTTTGTAGTGTGTGTGTGTGTGTGTGTGTGTGTGTGTGTGTGTTTAGGTTGGTTATATGTGCTTGTGTATATATGTAGGGGAGGCCGGGCTCAAGGTAAAATTGTCTTTCTCTGCTTCTTTCCCTCTTTCCCCTTATTCTTTGAGACAAGTCCTACCACTGAACCTAGAACTTGCCAATTGAGTTAGGTGGGCTGGCCAGCAAGCAAGGATCCTCCTGTCTCTGCTTCTCCAGAAGGATTGCAAATCAAGAACTTTACCAACTAAGTCTTCTCCCCAGCCTCATAAATGTTTTTTTTAAATATACTCTAGGCATTATTATATCTCTTTTTCCCCCAGTGCCTTGCGTCTTTCTGAAAATGACTCCTTGCCCAGAGGGTTCCAAATCACAGTAATGGCACCACAACTCTTCAGGTCACGTGCTTTAGTAGCAGCGGTGTCCCTCTCCAATACTTTAGTGCTCAACTATCAGATCAGCCATGTCCCTCTTCCTTTCTTGCTGTCTCCCATTATCAGAACACGTTTTCAAACTCACGCTGCTTTCATAATTCCTTGTCGTGTTTCCATAGCCTAACTGGTTTCCCTATTTTCCAGCATCCTTAACGTTCACTTCACCAAGAGTCCTTCAAGTCCAGTAACTTGAAAGATAGCACCTTAAAATTTCATCAGAATGTATCCTACTGCTCGCTTTTCTGGCATGTGTTGGTATGTCCAGCTCAACCATTTTTGCTTACTTTCTACTACTCAAGTCTTACTCCTTGGTGTAGGGTGTAAAACCTCATATGACATGGTCTCAATTGAGTCGTCTAGTTTGGTGTATCTCCCTTACATTCCCACATCATGCACACTCAGATTCAACCACACGGGACCATTTGTTGTCATTCACTTTTCATTAACCCTATTTTTTTCTGTCCTCTTGCCCTCAAGTTCCCTGCATGCATTCCGATCACTGCTCCCTTATCCATTTGCCTATGTATCTATCCCTCAAGATCCAATTTTCCCTACATAGTTTTCCCAAGGGAAAGCAAATGTTCCATCACTTTTGTTTGTAAGATTTATTTGATGTGTGTATGTGTGTGTGTGTTCATGTGTACGTGTGTGTGAGCACACTCACATGAGTGGAGGTCAAAGGAAAACCGTGGGTGTTGAAATAGGAGTGGTGGGGCTGCGTCCCCAGCACCCCGGCCGCCTGCTAGCTTATGCCCCGCCAGGATGCACGTAGGCTAGAATCTTTCCCGGTAAGACCGATGCTACACAGATTATTAGAGATGGGTTGATCGAGATATGAAAATTAGCCTATAAGGGCTAGAGTTAATGGGCCAAGCAGTGTTTAAAAGAATGCAGTGTCCGTGTAATTATTTCAGGGTATAAGCTAGCCAGGCGGCCGGGGTGCTGGGGACGCAGCCCCGTTGCTCCTTATTACTACACGTGGGATTCTGTTCTTTCCTTCCCCAAAATGGTTCCCGGGCACAGTACTCAGGTTATCTGGCCTGACAGCAAGTGTTTTTACTACCATCCAAGTCATCTCACCAGCTCCCGTCACTTGAATTTTAACTTCTATCTAGTTCTTCATTTTTCCTGAAGAGTCAGTCAGAACACCTAACTCCCTCTCTAAACTAAGAATCTTTTCTATTTCGGAGTGGAAAGAGTCTTTTAATTCACGATAGCAATGGTTTTAGTTATGGGATGGTCAGGAAGTCACAAGCTTCACACTAGTAAAATTTACTGGAAAACTTGCTTTACACAAATAATAAACTTTAACTATGCTTATGTAAGTAGCTTTTTAATCTTTGTGTTTTATATGTATACACTGTATGTGCACATACGTTAATCGGTCAGTACAAGTGCACACATGCTGTGACGTATGTGCACATCAAAGGACAACCTGGGGTATCAGTCTTCACCTTCCACCTTGATCGAGATGGGGCCTCTTGCTGCTTTTCTCCACTGCATATTCCAAGCTAGGCGGCCTTTGAGCTTCGGGGATTCACCTGTCTCTTTCCGTATTTCCCTACAGGGGAGTTGGGATTCCAGATGCTCGCACTACTCTGTACGACTTTACCTGGATCCTGGAGATTTGAACTCAGGTCTTCACATTTACATGGCACATGTTCTATTCATGAGTCATCTTGTTAACAGACATATCACACTTAACATAGTCAAATATGTGTAGCTAAGTCCTTATTTCAAAAAACCTGCCTGGTACATACAGCCATAGAATCAGCTTTGTGTTCCATAAGGGAACAGAAAATACATTTCAGCACAGAATTAGAATATTTTTAGAAACAATCTGTATGCAGTGTTTTATTTCTGTAAAATGTACATATTAAACACTGATTAAATATGTTCCCGTTGGGCAGCAAGATGACTCGGCGAATA